CAATGCTGACTCAAAATTGAGCAAGGTGTAAATAAATGGAGAGTTCAAAAATTTTTATTGTAACCGTAACGGCTTTTAAGTTACAAAATTGATAGAAGTGCAATGAAATCCACACTTAATCCATCATGATCAGTGGATAATTGCCTTGAATCTTCGGTTTATATTCAATTTATAGCTTCCCAATTGCATTCTTCGGGTTCTTAAGTTCTATTTAGGTTCAAAATATAGCGATTTTAACATAAAATTAATAGCGTGCGAGTACCAATTTAAAATATAATGTCATATTTTAACGAATAACATGTTACTAGCATTTAAACATGTTCCAACGCTCCCTAACCCTCCGTGGGTGAAGACCCTCACCCAGACCAAGACCCTAACCCAGACCAGGATCCTCATTTGCATCCTACTACAAGTCCAATGTTATGTTATATTGAAGATATCATCAAAACTAACACGTAATTCGATGTTGAGGGAATATGAGTCATTGCTGAAGATACAAACCAAATTCGTATAGACAAAAGTTGATTCTAACACGAATATGGAGTCAAAATGAATATGGTAATCAATAAAAGAAATTATTATGTTACCGATTGAAGTCAAATCCCTCCAGGGTAAACCTCGATTCGACCGACACCAAGATTGCACAGGTTGTAACTTAGACCAAAACTCACACCCAGAACAAGACACTGAGGCACACCTGGACTCAAACCTCAACCCAAACCAATACCATGATCATGACCCTGACCCTGACCCTGACCGTGACCTTGACCCGGACTCGGACCCAAACCCACACCCTGACCCCGACTTGGACCCGGACCCAGACCCTGACCTGAACTCAGACCTTGACCCAGACCCTGACCAAGACTCAGACCCAAACCCTGACCCACACACAGACCCTGACACAGTCCAAGACCACGACCTTCAACCCGACCCAAACTGAGATGGTCCACCCAGGAACCTGACCCTAAGCCCGACCAAACTGTTGACCCAGACCAAGATCCCGTTCTGCCCCATAAGCCATATCAAGACCCTGACCGGGAGCAAGACCCGGACCTTAAAAGTTCCTGACCTTCACCCAGACCCGCACCTAGACCATGGCCCAAACCCTCACCTAGACCCTCACCTAGACCCAAAGCAAGACCATGACCCAATTCTTGAGCTAGAGTCAAACCAAGACCTTCACCCGGACAAAGACCTTGACCAGAACCCACATCGACACCCAGAACCTCACCCTGACCTGGACCTAGATCTTGATCAAGAGCAGCACCCTCACCAAGAGCAAGACCCTCACCAAGACCAAGATCTTGACCCAGACCACGACCCTCACCCACACTACAATGTTGACCAAAACCAAGACCCGTGGCCAGACCGAGACCCTCACCCATCTTCACACCCTCCTCACCTCCCTCCTTGCGCCCATCCAGGCGCAACTCGCGACCCTCGCGCCCTTACAGGCGCAGGTGGCGACCCTTACCGCCAGCATGCGGCAACTCCAGGACGCTGGTCGTCCTTCCTCTCCTCACCCTCTCTCTTCTCCAGGCTCCCAGTCCGGGTCCCCCGTTCTCCGACAAAGTGGCCACGGCGGAGCTTCTTCCCCTGCCGTCCCCGACCCGGCCATCTTGGTGATCGTCCACGTCCCTAACACGACGGCCGCCACGAGCCAGGTTCTCCCTCAGTCTACGGGCGCACCCGCTCAGATCCCGGTCACTACGGCCACTGTACCACAACCCGCTACCATGGTCGCAACTTTTCCGGGTGCCCCACTTCTCCCTCCCTTCGCACGACCGCAGCGCCACCTGGCTCTCCCCCCCTGGGATGCTCCGCGCCGCTTGTGCGTCCACTTCCTCCACTCTTCCTCCTGCCACTCCTCGCTCGACCTACGTTCGAGGTCTCGAGGACGAGATTGCCCAGCTCGGGGCCGACCTCGCCCTCTCACGCCTTCAGCCTCCCCCACCCTCACAGGTGGCCGCGCCTTTCGGCGCATCCCCTTCTTCCTCTACTCTTCCTCCCATGCAGGCTCGCTTCCGTCGCCCTGCACCCTACCCATCCCCATCCTACCTCCTCCCTATTCCCTCGGTTGCTGCGACCTCTTCTACCGCAGCTCCCGTGCAGCCTGCCGCTGTTCCCACCGCCGCTCCACCATGCTGCCCGGGCGTACAGTCAGTTGCGTCCCCTCCTCCAGGACCTGCACCGACTTATTCAGCCGTAGCGCAGACCCCTGCTTCCCGTTCTCCTCGCCACCAAAACGGTGGCCACCACTCGTCCGCTTGACGGACATTGCCTCGTATGACAGTATAGACATACGCGTGTCTCGGTGGTTACAGTTTGCCACCCGCACGCTCCAGCTCATGGGTGCCGCACCGGACACGTGGGTGGCTCACCTCTCCACACGCCTGCGTGGCGGTCCTTCCGACGCCTGGGAGGATTTCTACGCTTACTTCATGGAATTTCAGGCGTTCCTCGGGGATCGCTTCGGAGCCTGATATGACGTGACTGACGCCTTCGAGCGTGTCGTCACTACACGCTGGTCTGACTCTGGTGGCTCTGCCGGCCTGGATCGCCACATCCAGGTCTTTCAGGACGCCCGCCTCATTTGTGACATAGTGTTCTTCCCCGAGGCGGCCCTTATCGATCGTTTCTTGGCCAGCCTTCCGCTCAAGTACCGCTCCGAGCTATGGCGGTACGAGTTCACATCGGCCCCGCAGACTTACGAGGCCGCCAGGGACCATCAGCGGATCGGGCCCCTCTTCACCCCGCCTCCTCCTCCCAGCCTTAGCGCATGGGCTGCGCCTCCTCCCCCTCTCACGGCACTTCCCAGCGTCGTTCCCCTTTTCACGGTTGGCCCCGCCGTTCCTCGCAGCAGGGCCGCCACTTCTCGCATCCCTTCAGCGTGCTCGAGTATGGTGAGCAGGACGTTGGTGCCCCATTGTTGCCAGAGGGTGACCATAGCGACGACCTCGACCTCGGCGAGGCCGTCCACCACCACCTGGAGGACTCTACTCTTCCTACGGCCGAGCGCCTCCAGCTCATCCTCTCCGCCCTCTCCCGGGCACGCAGCCGCCCCGGTCACGCTGGTGCGTCGCCCCCCGAGGTCCCTCAGCAGGACCTCCCTCAGGGCTTTGTCCCTCCTCCCGGTGTCCTTTCCGCTGAGGAGCGCGCGGCTATTTTGGCCGGCGTGGGTGTTTGCGTTGCCGCCTGGATGGTCATACCTCCTCGCGGTGCCCTTACACTACCGCCCTCGACCGCCACTACATTGACCTTTCCCGCCAGCGTCGTGCTCAGTCACCTCCTGGCGCCTCTCATCCCCGTGGCGCCTCCTAGCCATGGTGCAGTGTACACCTGCGCCCTCCTCAGTAGTCAGCTTCCCGATATCCCCGTCACGGTTTGCCCCTCTCGCTACTGGAGTTGAGGTCTCACAGGACCCGACAGAGTGTACTCAGCCCTCTATCGCAGTACTGTCTGCGCCTCCGCAGACCACCATCTCCCCTCCTTCCCCGCCTCGACTACCAACACGTCGGGCCATTCGCTCATCACGTTGCAGCGAGCAGCTTGTAACTCGCGAGGATGTTGTGTCCTCTCTTCTGGACTTGAGCATGCTCCAGGCTCATCAGGAGCGACTCACCCTCCATGTCGCTGCACTGCGTCGCCTTCTCACCATCCTCTCTGACCCGGATTGCACCCTTCCGATCATCCCCATACGATTGGGGACCTCCACGAGGGTGTACTCAGCGTTGCGAGATTCCGATTCTCAGGGCGACTTCATTCACCCATGTGTGGTGAAAGAAGCCCGCTTACCCACGACCGGGTCTCCGACTCCCATCTCTGTCACCCTAGGGGATGACAAGACTCAGCGCTTCTTCGACCAGATGGTCACCGATCGCCCTTTCTTCCCCACTCTCGAGCCGACGGATCGTCCCCCGGCGTCTCGTCGCCACCGCTCCTCTGCACATTTCGATGTGATGGAGACGGGRTACGACTTCATTCTCGGCACTCCGTGGTCTCGTCGGTTCCGCAGCACCGAGGCCGATTGGCCGACAAACACTCTCGTTCTCAAAACGAAATGTGGACAGACGTATCGCGTACCTTTCGTAGGTATCACTGCGACACCACGCCCCGATCCTCCTCCCCCGGAGCCTTTCGTGCCCACACCATCTCCTTCTATCACTGTCACCTCGCGTCGGTAGTTTACTCACTTCATCCGACAGGACGACGTCACCTTCTTTATGGTGAACGTGACGGATCTCTTACACTATGATCCACCCTCTCCCGACACCGAGCGCATCCTTCTAGAGCTAGATCCTCCTTCGATCTCCATGACTCCCATCTTTACTTCCTACCCTCCGCCGTCCGTCGAGTCCGACCCGTCGTCACTCGCCGACGCTGACGCTGAGGAACTCGCACGCTATACGGCCGACTTGGAGCCCGCAGTTAGTGACCTCATTCGAGAGTACGACGACGTTTTTCCATTGTCGTTCTCGTACGCTGGCATCCTACCGATGCGCGACGTCGAGCACTCCATCCAGCTTGTGCCTGACTATCGTGTTCACCACCAGGCACCCTCCCGGCCTCGTCACGCAGGATTATGCAAGACTTGTTGCGGAGAGCGTTTGCCGCTCCGGCCGAGTGCGTCAGCCGTACGTCTCGCGAGTCCCTACGACAGGACAGAGTCACACGAGGCACCGCTACCTCCACCTGCGGGAGCTGTCACCATCCCTTAGGTGGGCATATCCCTGCCGAGCTACTGAACCACATGCGAAAGTTTTTCGTATGCAATTGCAGAGGTGGCCCAGCCGAGGGCGTTTCTCGCTCGCTATAGCATAGGGGGTACGCGAGGTCGAACGCCTGAAAATTGAACCCATACACGAATCGCCTGAAAATTGAACCCATACACGAATCGCCGTATTGGGGGGCTGAAGTCCCAAATGCCACTCGACGTCGGTCGACTAGGACGCACTACACACCCACGCGTTACACCACAACACTCGCACTTACTCACCCATAACACCTGGAGCCCCACGCGAAACAAACACCACAAACAACGCCACAACACAACAACTCTTAGTCCCTTCAGTATCTAACCCATAACTATATACGACAACACTCAGATAGGTACCGCGTATAAGAGGCGCGCGAGTGCATGGCCCCCTCATCTCTCACCATCTCTGCCTGCTGTGTCACATCCAGCCCCTTGCGAGCCTGCTGGAGTGCCACGGTGGAAGGCATCTGCCACTCAGACTCTTCACTCTTGGCTTTCCCTTCCATGTGCATGTCCTGAGGTTGCAGCATCTCTTTATCCAACAGAGGCACATCTTCTCCTCCCTGTAGATCAACCTTTTCTTCCTCCTTTTGACTTTTGAAGGCTTCCTCTGCAGGTGGCCTCTTCATTTCAAATCCTTGGACCTCAGTCCAATCCACCAAAGTTGTGGGTGCCCTCTGCTCGAGCTTCGCTTCCAGCTCCTTAATTCTCTTCTCCCACTTTACCTCCTTTGCCTGGAAGGAAGCCTGTTGAGCCTGCAGGTAGGCCCTCAGAGCCTCGTTCACCTTGTCGAGGGTCTGGTTCACCTGCCTGATCGCCTCATTGCCAACCCATACTTTTTCCAGCTCCACCTTCATTGCGTCCAACTCGCGATCCAGTCTCTCCTGGTTCTCTTTCAGATCCTTAGCCTCCTGCTTCCATTCCAACCTCTTACCATAGGCCTTATGTACCACCTTGGTCAACCTCTCTCCAATCTTCTGATCTGATGGTCGTGCGGCTGCAAATCCTTCCTTCATTACTCCCTTCAACGTGAGCAAGTCTGCGAAGACCAACTTCACCCTCATCTCTTGTTGAGGTCCCTCTGGTCCTCTCGCAGCTCTCATCAACCTATCAAAGTTCTTCCACGCTTCAGAGAGTAGAGGAGGGTCTTCTTCCTGTTGTCTGCTCACACTCTTTCCCAGTCTGTCTTTCAAGTCCACTGACCGCTCTCCCTTATCCTCTTTCCTGTGGAGTTCCTCCAGGTTCTTCCTCCTGACTTCTGCTCTGATCTCCTGTTCCCTGGCGGCCCTTTCTTGTCTGTCCAATTCCTTCTGTCTGGCAGCCTGGTCCTCATCCATCATCTGTCCTGTCAGCTCATAGGTTGTCTCTGGTCCTGTTTCAGCCATAGCCTGATCCTCTGGTCTCTGAATAGACTGAGGAGGAGCCTCGGGCACCTCTGACTCCCTCCTCTCCTGACGCCTCTTAGCCGGCAGCTCCTCTCTTGTCTCCATCCTGTGGGAAGCATGTTCCCTCTTCTCTCACCCTCCTGAGATCTGGACGAGGCACCTCTCTCAAAAGTCCTCCTGCCTTCAGCCTCAGGCTCCTTCCTTTTTTTTTCCATACTCTTTCTCTCCTCTGCCTGCCGTGCTGGAGTGTAGTAGTTCCCAAGTAGTCGTCTGCAGTCTCCGCAATGCAACGCTCTCTCCACAACACTCCTGACGAACATCCTGATATGCCTCTTCACAAACTGAAGGAATCCTCTCACTCTGGTCTCTGGTACAATGTTCTGCTCGTCCGCAAACCGGTCATAAGCCCACAAGAACTCATCCAAATTCGTCCCATCAAATCGGATCGGTACTCCATCTCTCCCCACGGGCGATGGGTGCAGTCCCTCCATCCTTCTCTTGAACTCCTGCCAGGTCGCTGACTCCCGTACATATCGGGCAATGGGCTCAGCCCACTCGCCCTCTCCGCGTACCTCTCGCAACATTCTAGCTTCATTCCATCCAAACTCGCTCGCGCACCGTTGGAACTCGATCAGAAATAGTTCGACGTTCCCTCCTGTGAAGATGGGTGGCCTGTCTTCTCTCCTGGTCCATCCCTGCACTCTCTGTCTGGCTGCCTCCTAAGTGGGTTCTACTGGCCCTGCCCCTCCCTTCCCTCTTGGCATGGCTGCGCCAAAGTGGTGTCAAGCCTATACAACAAGGAAGAGACAAGCAAAGCACACAGAGGGTAAGCAGGTTTTGGCAACACAGTGAGAGACATACACATCCCATCTCATCCAACCTATCCATCTGTATAGGCATACATACACATAAACACCTATTTCAATTCTATAGTCTGTCATGCCATCCTAGCGACAATCTATGCAGCCTAACTAATATCTCTATTAAGCGAAAAAAACTTAGCAGGAAGGGACTTCTAGCCTGTGAGATTTAGGTTCACCTCATCTTGAGCAACAAACTTCTTTAGCCTCGAGTCTAACACCCAATCTCCCCAGGCTGTTCCATCCATTTCCTTAATCTGGTACGCGCCATGCTTTCCAACTCTTGCCATCTTGTATGGTCTCAACCACCGCTTATCCAACTTTCGTGACCATTATTTTTTCAGGGATGAGTCGTACAACAGCACCGTGTCTCCCACTTTGAGTGGCTCCTTCCTCACTCTTGCCATCTTGTCCCACCTGCACTTATCCTGTGCTCGGTTATATGCCACCTTACTCGCTGCTCCTTCAATCCTGTCCTCTAAGGCTCCGATCTGACGCGCCCTTAAATCGAGCAGTTCCTCGAACGTCAACTCTGACTCGAGGTCCTGCCGCCTCCATGTCTTCAGGAAGCTCTCAATAGGGAACGTTGCATGTCTGTCATACCATAGCGTGGAAAGGAGTGAAGGGGACGCGTCAACGAGCACGGTGTGTGCCGCTCGTCAGGGGGCTGACGAGTGCGATCGTCCCTCCCGGTGAGAGTATGGTGGATGGGCGGGAAGGAAGGCTACAACCGCATCACGTGTCGAAGCCGCCGTCGAGTCTCGGGTGAGTTCAAACCGTAACAACCAACTTTAACTCAGGGCGTGATCATTAAATCCACCTCGAAACACTAAGCAGATACAAGCAGATATTAAGCTTGACTTGCTGTTGCGTCGCTCCTCTAATCATGAGCGTTGAAAACTGCCCGCTGAGGCAGGTCGAACACATCTTGATTCTAGGCATGACCAGTCTTCGCATTTTTGTGAAAGCATGATCTTGAACCTGCCCCGAAAGTGGGGGGGGGAAATACTCGCAGACCTTTGAGCTGGGCGCGGCCATTTCACATCTCACGCTAATACAGTCATTGCTCTTCGGATCATGATCATTGAATCTGCCCCGAAAGCAGGGCACATACATGGAGATATTTGGCTTGTCTAGCATCATAACATGATCCTTGGAACTGCACACAAGAGCGAGACAGATACATGCAGATTTCAGGTTGGGCTTCCCGCTGCATTCTTCCGAGAACTTCATCGCTGAGTCTGACTCCGAAAACGAGGTTGTTACTTACAGATATTTGGGGTGAACGCACCGTTCTGTAAGCCCGGAACTGAGAACATTGAGTTCGCTCTCGAAGATAGACTATTGCATCGCATCCGAGTGTTGTGCGGGCGGGGGTGGAACTGTGACGGAGTCGAACAGAAGGCACGTGCGGGCTCAGGACATTGAAGATCAACTTGGTCTCAAAGTTTGGATGGGTATTCGCCAGCTCGCTGGAATACCCTCAAACCATTGGAGACGGGCTGAGCCTGGCAGGGCCATCCTGAAACGGGCTGAAACGGTCCGCTCGTCCCAGACTTCTCTGATTAGGATTGCCGATTCCGGGCAGAACGCGGGTCTACCACACGCAAGGTTTTGGGCTAAGCACGCCTGTCTCAGACTTTTAAAATCAAGATCATGAAGTTGCTTCTGGAAGCGGGGTGATTACAATTGGGAATCATTCCGCTTGCCAAGCTGGGATGAACAGATACACTCCCCACACCCTGAAGGTAATTAAGCGTATCCGGGAAGTGAGAGGTCGAGAGGGAGAGAGAGGCTGGTGAGAAAGAGCAAATAGAGTGGGAGCGGGAACAACGAGAGAGTGGGGACAGCGAGAGGGTGATCAGAAGGGGAGCGTGTGTGAGATGAAAACGAAATGGCTAATCGGGCTCTCGCAATGCTCCCTGATGCAACGGAGGACCTACCGCCGCTCTGTTGATCGGGCGCTGATTGTGCAATACCGCGAACTTACCTGCGTTCTGTTGACTGTGCAGTAACTGTGAAATGTGCGATCCTGAAACGATGATCTGTCTCTTTGGTGCAACATGGTGAACTTACCCGCGTCCTGTTCACTGAGCAGTGACCGTGAAATGTGTGATGAGTCCTGAAACGATGATCTGTCTCTTTTGTGCAACATGGTGAACTTACCCGCGTTCTGTTGACTGAGTAGCAACTGTGAAATGTGTGATGAGTCTTGAATCGATGATTTGTCTCTTTATGCAATATGGTGTACTTACTGCGTAACAGGGTTGGAATGAAGTCCTCATGCTCTCGCTCGCGGTGACTAGTTTATCTGCGTTAGCCGGGGTGTCTCACTGCCTCTTTTGGACCTATGAGCGGGAAAGGCTCTGAGCACGCTTCTCGCCTGCTGGCCGCCGAGGACCTTGGAAGCGGGCGCGTCGAGTGACAGGCTGTGCTGCCCATGGCTTCGGCGAATAGTAGGCAACCCCTCCCCAGGTTTCCTTACAACTTTGGCGCCGTTGCTGGAAAGGAGAATTGCACCCCCAAGGCCGCGGCCTTCCCCAATCAAACGAGGGTGCCCTGGCTAATTGGCCAGGTGACAGTTCAACAGTTTGATTAGTCGATTTTTCTAAATTTTTATTAATTTTTACTTTTAGTTTTTTCAAATTATCTCCTAATCCGCGCGTTTTCGCGCGAAGTACGCAGGGAGCAAAGTTTGTCCTCTCGTCGAGGCGAACGTTATGAGAGGTTTCTTGCTGAAATCTAACGGTTAGATTTTGAGATAACGATTTTTTTTTAATTTCCTATTTATTAATTCAAAATTTACAGTTTTTTTTTTTTAATTTTTGCGAAAAATTGGTTCATATTTTTGGAATAACCCCTTGAACCAAAATTGTTTAGTTTATTTTTTCCGTTGTTCTGACACCATGGACGGGGCAAATGGGGGTAGTTAAAGGCAAGGACGGTATGTAACAGCAAAGAAAAACGAGATAAAACAAAAATTAAATATTTATTTTCTTTGGAATTTCGTGTAAAATACCGAAAAAGGGATTAAGAAAAAGTGATCCGTCAAAGTTTTTGCACATTTCGAGTAGAGAGAACGGAAAAATTTTGGGAACGAACGAGTTTTGGAGGAAAGCGTGCGGTTGCACGCAAAGCTTCAAAACCCTAGTTAGATAAATCCCAATTAGGGGAAACCCTAATTAGGAGAAGTCTTATTCAGGGTTTTGGGGTTGGATAACAACCTTAAAGAGGAAGGATAATATACAGGAAATACTTCGCCTTTTGTTTTCTGCGGCGTTTGTTTTTCATAATTAATTTTAAAAAAATACTAAAAATCACGAAAAAGAATTAATTATATTTTATTTTATTTTATTTCTAAATCCAGGCGTCTTTTCTTTCGGGTTATTGAGTTAGGGGCGAAAGCTCCGAACCCCATCCCGACGGGGGGAGGGGAAGTACTGCCTAAGTTTTCTTAAAATTTTGTATAATATTTCGAATTAATTAGGAAATAATTAGAGAAAATACTCAAAAATTGATTAAAAATTAAAATTTTCTTTTGAAATTGTTCACCTTTTGCTATACTCCTTCGGCGGCTATTTTGAGGCCTTCGGCCACACCCCATCCCAACGGGGGGAGGCGAAGTGCTGCCGAATTTTTTAGAAATCCGTTAAAATTCGTCGGGATCTTCTTAAACCAGAAAATTTTGCATAAAGACACATATAAGGAATATATATATATATAAAAAATGAGAAAGGAATTTAATCTTGCATGAGTGAATTTTCTGTAAATTAAATACAGTAAATATTGGAAAATTCCCTAGATAGCAAACGGAAAGAAGAATCGCAGCAGTAAAGAAGCGAGGTAGATCACCCCACCCCTCATAGGGGTTGGGTCCAGCAAAAGGGATTTTCTTTAATCAAATTTATTTATTTGTCATTCATACACTATAAACTAAAAATAAATAGCTAGAGTGTGTAAAGTTGAGAGGCGCGACTGCCGCGCTACTCCCTAAGGGCCACCGAGCGTACCCTTAGTCAGTAGGGTAGAGCTAGTCGATTTCCTCTACTTAAAAAGTTATTTTTTAAATTAAACTTACTAAAATTCCTTAAAAATATAAATATGACTTAGAAAATAGCCAAAAAGTGAGGGTGAACATTTTTGCTCTTTACTTAGCTTGGGAAGGGCTTCTTACTCCATAGAGGCGCCCGGAGCAGCTACGGGCAGGGTCCCCTCGAACAAAGCACACACTTTGTAGACGAGGAAACTTGAATCCTCCACTGCTTCTTCAGTGGACATCAGTCGGATGTGGACTTTAGAGCAGGTAGAAGTCTACGAGGCCACCCGAGCTTGGGACATAGAGCCTCCGGAGCTCATAGAGGGAGGACAGGTAGAGCTCACGCTCCCAGGGCGGCCTATTGAGTTGCACGACAGGGAGTTTTGGTGGAAATCTGTTTTTTGACTTGTGATGCTTGGCTGTGGGTGTATAGATAGCATGCGACGGCGGAGTATGGGAGTCAGACGCGAGAAGTAGTACAGGCCTATCTCTACTTAGGAGAGGAGGCAGCCAAGGGGGCTGCTTTGAGTCTAGTGATTAGAGGGACCAGCCCGATTATCGACAGGGCCCAAGGATTTCTGCAGCAGGAGGTCGACAGGTTTCGTGGGGACGACGCACAAGATCCGTTAACCTTGTTTCACGACCGACCTCATCTGGATATCACGGGCGATCTGCTGATAGCTCGGGACGACTTTTTCCCCTATTCGTCGAGCGCCTTGAGGGTTATCCTCCCGTCTTTTCTCGTAGACTTGCTCTTCGGAGGCGTAGGGGGGATAGTGGAGACATACTTGGCCTATAGAGAGCTACAGACGTTTGTTAGGAGCAGTCTAGACGAGTACTACTTGCATTACTCCCTCGCGACAGGAGGTCTTCGTTGGGGAGACGAGAGGGTCCAGCTGATAGAGCTGATCCATTCGTTAGGGGACGATATTCAGGGAGGGGTGTCGCCGCCCTCGTACGTCTGGGAGTGGCTGGATAGGGCACTTAGGACAGGACTGAAGTACGTCACCTGCATAGGCAGGCTTTTTTTAGAGGACTAGGAGAGTCTGTGGAGTGATGCACCTGGCGGACCCCTGATACGTGAGTATCAGCTGAGGCGTTATTATCAGGCGATCGGGCTCCCGCCATATCGCGTCGAGGACGAGTACGACTATGAGGGATGGGAGCGAGAGGACGACGAGGACGCCTGGGAGTCGGACTGGGTCGACCCAGAGAGTGAGGTTGACGAGGAGGAGGAGGACGACACAGTGGGCGCGCACTTCCCGCGCATAGGGGTACCGATTAAGGCCTAGGCGGAGCGTGCGGCGAGGCGAGTGCGAGCTAGGTTAGCCGTGAGATTCGGCAGTAGAGTGAGAGAGAGGTTAGGGAGATCCTGCATGCAGATGGCAGAGGAGATCGAGAGAGTCGACCTACCCTTTGGTGATTTCAGATGGCCTAAACCGCCCGAGATCATAGCTCCCGACTTGGCGGAGCTTGATCTACCGGCCAGATGCGTGGCTGAGCCAGGGCTGACTGACCATTGAGGGTCGACTCGGCTGGGATCAGACGTGCACCTATGGTCATATACTGTTCAGACCTACGAGTCTGATCCGCAGAGGTGGCGGGCGCCTGGTACGACGTCCATAGAGGCCGTAGGGCATATTTATCACTCACGAGAGGTGAGCGGCGTCGCCTATATCCAAGGCTTGGTGCATGGGTTCTGGCGGTATGAGAGAGAGGCGAGTGAGATCCTGACGGGCAAGATAGAGAGTGCACGAGAGGAGATTGAGGATCTGTACGGGTCTATCAGGGAGACGAGGACTACGTTTCGGATAGGAGGGTTTGCCTTTCCGGCAGTCCGACTGCGCGCCGGGTTCCCGGTCTTTGTAGTGGAGCAGCTTTGGGGCTTGGGGTGCGTCGTGGAGAGATATTTCGCGGCTCTAGAGATCGACGGACTAGCTAGAGGGTAGACGGACCGGGACTTGATTGCCTACGCACAGTTCGTAAGGGGGCCTCTTACTGGAGAGAGGGGGATACAACTCATAGAGTTCTGACGTGCTCTAGCGCCTATAGCTGACCCCCACTCTTCCTTCCCGGGCCAGCCCTTGGAGTTCTGACTGGCACTAGATAGAGAGGTCCAGAGACCAGTGGATAGTTTGGAGAGGGTCGGACGACTCTTTAGCGAGACTCCCGGTGATAGGCCTGCTTCCCTCATCTCTATCTGGGAGTTGGAGGAGCATTATCAGAGTATATACCCAGATAGGGGGGAGCTCGGCTAGGACGCCGAAGACAGAGATTGGGTACATCATAGCG